TTCCTTCCTTCCTTCCTTCCTTCCTTCCTTCCTTCCTTTCTTTCTTTCACCTATCTATCTACCTACCTATCTACCTACCTACCTATCTACCTATCTATCTAGTGTGTGTGTATATATACATATACACACCATACATATGGTGTGCATGTGTGTGTTTGTATGTGTACATGCACATTATGTATATGCAAGTCCAGAGAAAATTAATTCTGATTCGTTCTATTTTTCTAATTTTTTAATGTAATATTAAATAAAATATTAAAGTAGATAAAGTTATCTTGGTAAGGAGGTATCTATTGCTATCACTTCAGCTGCCTAGTATTTTTATTTCACATAAGGCACTATATTTGAGTCTTTCTCCTTTCCATCTAATTGTATCTTGCTTTTTTCCTATACACTCATTGAAATTACACTTTCTATCAATTCTCATAGAAATATGGAACTTTACTTGTACAGAGAAAATCATTCACCATATGTGAAGATTAAAGGTATGCAAGAAATCTTATAACTAGAAAGGGGAGTAAGATATTAATATACTGTATCAACTGTATATCAACTGTATCAGTTACAGTTTATATCTACTGAAGCTAGAGCAGACATTACAATGAGCCAATGTTCTCCTTCGTGTGGAGCTCAGATGCAGCTTCCTAATCATTTCCTACAGAGTGCTCCAAGCAGGCATTACCAATCTAAATTGTCACAGTGACAGTCATGATTAGACTTAAAACTAACATCCATTCAGCCTGTTGCATGTATAAGCTACTATGCTAAGGAAACTATATTTTCCTATTTACTCTTTACCACATTCCTTTTAGGGCCTGTGACTCTCAGGGCCTAACTCTTAAATGTACTGTCAGTACCTACTGTTCCATCTAAGAACACTCAACTTGTGTACTTACTTCTTTGGCATGGATGCCAATCTTAATTTTTGATACATAGAAATTTACCATTCTAACTTCAAGGCTTGTCTCAGCATTTTTTTCCCTAAAATTTTATTTTTGTTTACAGTAAGAGCCCATTTCACATTGGTATACATTGTATTTTTTTAAAACCCCTTTGTCATAAGAATATGATTTTGAGAAAGAAAATTGTGATCCTTTGTTTATTGAATATAATGCATTGTGCATTTCTGAGCATATGAGCAGCTTCATGAATTGAATTTACTCTCCATGTGCTACATTGCATAGCCAAGAGACAAGGAAGTTTCCATCTAGACAAGGAAGTTTTCATTACTAGATTCTACACTCCATTAAGCAGTGTCTGTTTTAATTTCCACTGTATAATCAGCACCAATTATAATTCCCGGCATATTGTGGCCACTCAATACAGATTTGTATTTATCATTGCCTGGGAAATTTAGATATCTGAGAGAAGGGAAATTGATTCTTATTTGGGACATAAACACTCTATAATTTCATGAGAAGAAATATAGCAAACATGAGTAGAAAACTTACAAATATTTTTCTTCTCTCAAGGACACAAGTGCAACCCATGCCCGGAAAAATGGAGGTGGCATGGGGACCAATGCTACCAATTCTATAAAGACAGTAAAAGTTGGCAGGGCTGTGAATATTTCTGCACTGGTGAGAATGCCACCATGCTGAAGATAGACACACAAGAAGTGCTGGTAAGGTCCTGGATCTTTTCAATGTTTGAAGAATTCTTAAGAAGAGGCCTTGAAATTGCTGGCCAAGAAAATTCAGAGGAGTGAATGATATTGGCTCACAAATGTTCCCACTTACTCTGATCAAGGACTCTGTCTTATTCCTATTGCTTTGCATGATTCCCTCAACTACATAAAAAAGGAGCTGCATTCTTCAAAAATGTTTTCTCCACAGAAACCACCCCTAAGCCAGGGAATAGACGGAGAATGCCTTAATTTTTTTTTAACCTCTTTTAGTTTGGGTAAGAAGAGAAGAGTGTTTACACAAGATGAAAATACCACTGACTGTATTTGATTTATGAGTGGCAAATATTTAATTAAATCATTACCATGATCCACAAATATATATCTTGCTTTCCAGAAGATTGGTGAAGAAAAATATGAAAATTAACCCTACAAATTGACACATTGAATAAGTGCACTTTTAAAATGACGTAATTATTCCCCTCCCCCACTTCTTTCCACATTCATTATTGCTTTTGGATTGAATTCCTTCATCAATGTGATCATGTGATAACTTGTTTATCTTTCTCTATAATTGAGCAGTGGTCTTGATCCAGAGCAGATTGTCAACATATGGCTTTTTAATTAAATGTCCAGCTTTATATACAAAGTTTTAACATCCTTCCGGTCACATATTAATTTCTGTCCACTTCCTGAAATCTGTATGAATGAACCTTTGTAATATCTTTATTTAATATATTTTACCCTCTATGGCTCCATTTATGCATAGAGAAAGGCAATTTCTTTCTTTCTGTATTTTTTTGGGGGGGTGGTAACTAGTAATTGAATGAACCCAGAGGCGCTTAACCCCTAAGCCACACCCCCAGCCCTTTTTATTTTTTTGAGACAGGGTATCCCTAAGTTGCCTAGGGCCTCACTAAGTTGCTGAGACTTTGAACTTGTGATCCTCCTGCCTCAGCCTCCTGAACCTCTAAGATTATAGGTGTGTGCCTCTGCACCCGGCCCAATTTCTTTTACTAACATAATATGTCCTGGAAAAAACATTTTCTTATTATATTTGTTTGCTTTACTTACAGACCATACTGAAGACTCAGTTATATAAATAAACTGTACTATATGGAATAGTAGGAAATTTTGCTATAAAAGTTATAAAGTTATTTTATTTTATACACTTTATAAATTTGTATATGTTTAAATTTCTTATACATGATTTATTTTCAGAAGTTTTAAAGTGATACCATTTAATTTGGAGAAAATATGTTCAAATACGGTTCTTTTCACATGACTACTGTGTGACCATCACTTTGCAATAGTTTCCCTGATATTTCCTATGATCTCTTGTTGAATCAGCATGTGCCACTAATTATCTGAGGCACTGAGGATAGAACAATTGCTAAAACTAAGTATTTATCCCTAAAGAGTTCATAATATGTTGGAAAGGAAAGACATAAATGGATGGTCATAATAATTATACTATATATAATCATAATAATTATATATATAATTCCCATGTTAAATATATAAATATATATATGAATATAGAGTGAGAGTAGATGAAAGGAAGTAAATAACTTTTTGAAATTTCAATATACATATTAGAAATATGGACATACATACACATGACTGTGTGTGTGTGTGTGTGTGTGTGTGTGTGTGTGTGTAAAATTTAAAATTTCTTTGTCCCCTATAGTTTGAGATATAGGTCATCCTTCCAAGTCCATTTTTCACTTCTTTGTGCATTGAAGTATATTCACACTTATTTTCTCATACCCAGTTATTTTTTTCCTAGGTGTTTATAAAGGTTTCTTTTCCATTCCTGAACTTTTCCTTTTAAAATTTTCCATTTCCCATAGTCATTCCATATCTCTTTGTAAATCTTCTTCCCACTATGTTATATCACTCTTGATGTTTCATTTTGTGTCTTAAAAACAATGGATTATGTATAAATATTGACTGATAAAATGCTTGGTTTCAAAATATCAATATATAAAATTGCATACTTCAACTAAAGCAAAATAAGTTCTTTAACCTGGATGAATTTCTAATGGATCTCATGACAGATACTTTTATCTCCTAATCACACCCTCATCTATGTGAGTTAGGAATTCTTTGTTGATTTCCCATGAACAGTGTTAGCTGCCCCCACACTTATTTGAAAATAAATTACAACTTCTTTAAAGCTAAAGATTTTCTTGTATGTCTTTCACAGGAGTTTGCCATGCCTCAAAGCTACTCTGAGTTTTTCTACTCTTATTGGATAGGGCTCTCCCGCAACAGCAGTGGCAAAGCCTGGCTGTGGATGGATGGAGCACCTTACTCCTTTGAACTGTAAGATTTCAGAACATGTTACAGCGAAGGCATCTAACAGAAAGAGTGATGGAGTTAGCAGTTTGGTTCAACAAACATCAATCAAACATTTGTTTTCTACTGGATGCTGTGTTCACAAGATGTCCAAAGATGTGTAGAATAGGCTTGCTTGCTTTTGAATGGCTTATAAAACAGGGAGACAGATCTGTAGTGCTAGTAAAATATTAGGGGACAATTCCTGAGCTGTTTTCAACACTGGGTATCTAGGAGTAACTGTGAATTAGATAATTAGAATGTGAGAGAAAGAAATAGAAAATCTTTTATGTCTGTGTATACTGAAGTCCAGGAATCCAGGTTGTAAAAGTGGGTGTATAAGGCCACAACTTGTCATACCTAGAAAAAAGGACAAAACCTCAGATTTCTTTTCCTTTCCTTTCCTTCCTCCCTCCTTCCTTTCCTTCTCTCTCTCTCTCTCTCTCTCTCTCT